AATATGCAAACAGGCGTGGCGCAGTTTGTCTGGAGAACTCTGGCTCGGAGAGTGGGGCCGGATGATCAGAAAAAGGGTGATGATGAGAATTGAGAAGTCGAGGAATGTCGAGAAATACAATGTGGAGGAGGAGTGAGGACAAGTGGAAACGCAAGAGTCATCAACGATGTTGGAATTAACTCTCCCTCCACGCTCCTTCTTCATAGGCCCCATGCAACTGTTCATTTCCATTGAGGGCACTGCCTCGTTGGAAGACAACAGTTTGAAGATCCTGAAGCGAGCCAAAACATTGTTCTCGGGCTTTCAACGCCACGAATCAACCTGACTGCTGCGTCTTGACGATCCAGAATCGTGTCACAACGCCGTTCTCGTGTCATCACAGCAAGTCAACATAACTATTGCGCCCGTATAGTCTTGAATCCTTCCAAAACGCCTTTTCTGGTACGTCGATCATGGGAACCCGTGAAACTCTTGCAAATGTTTACAACGAATGTGCGCGGCGCTAAAGCGAGAGCCACATTTTGAAGAGGAAAGACGCTCAACCTGCAAACATCTTGTATTTTTTAAAAACGAATGCGCTCGGCGCTAAGGCGAGAGCCACATTTTGAAAACCACCCGCCCTCAATCCGTGAAACTCTTGGATTGTTTAACGAATGTGCGCGGCGCCAAGGCGAGAGCCACATTTTGAAAACCACCCGTCCTCAATCCGTGAAGTTCCTGCACTTTTTTGAAACGACTGTGCGCGGCGCTACGGCGAGAGCCACATTTTGAAAACCACCCGTCCTCAACCCGTGAAGCTCACGCAAATGTTTAAAACGAATATGCGCGGAGCTAAGGCGAGAGCCACATTCTGAAAACGACCCGCACTGCATCTGGGACACCGTTGCCACTTCTTAAGCTTCAAAATCATAAATGGCGAGGACGTCTCAGGCGAAACGCCCGGCCCGCCCTGAAAATTGGCTTCTGGGCGCGACAGGGAGGAGTTATCTTTAAGGAGAAGGACTGGACTTCGTTCCAAGAAGGGGTATTGAATGTTGCACGGGGATCTGGCAGTAAAGGTGCGCGTTGAGGATGCGAGTCCCTTGGGCACCCACGTTGGATCCGTTCTTGGGCGGTGCATGGCTGGAGAAAATTGCCAAGGATGGGCCAGACAGAAAGGGATCAGAAGGTACTCATAACAAGTTGTTCATCCTTATTCTGCTATGATGCTGAATACTGGCTGGCAAGAGAAACACAACCGTGATGGGGGAGGAAGAGGGCGAGAAGGAGGAGGAGGGCGTTTGACATTGTTGTTCAACTACACTTCGCCATCCGTTTGAATACTGACAATTGGATACGTCAGGGAACTTGTGCCCGCAACGATTTAAGCAGAAATGGCGCAGATGTGTGAAGTATCGAGAAGCAGAATCAGTAGGATGAGCAGGAGGAGGAGGAGAAGGCGAAGGATGATGATAACGGATTAAAAAGGGAGGATGGATGACGGATGAAGTAAGAAAAGGAGGAGGGCGAGCAGACGGAGGAGGATGAGGAGGAGGAGGAAGAGGATGGTAGGTTTTGCGCATTGAATTTGAAGATTGAAGCGGACTATTGCCCAGGATTCTCCGAAGTCAAACCGGCGCGCGCATTTGAAGCTTGAAGATCGGATCGAGTGGGGGATTCGTGCCCCAGAATCTTCAAACAGGCGAGGCGCAGGCATTCGAAGAAAGCGTGGATCATGTCTCCAGGTTGACGATTGACGGTTGCAGGGGACTTGTGCCCAGGATTCTTCAAACAGGCCATGTTTGAAGAATCTTGGACATACTGTAATCTTAAACGTTCAATCTTCAAACGCGTGGGCCTGTTCAAACGCGTGGGCCCCCTGTAACCTTCAAACGCAAATCTTCAAACCGATCTGGATGGGCAACTTTTCAAAGTGTGTCGGGCCATGCTCTACCTCCAGGAGAAGGACATCTGGGAGGAGAAGCACACACAGTAAGTGTGTGTGTGTGTGTGTGTGCGTGAGTGTCATCCCTGAGAGCTCGGCAGGGCGAAGACGCGCGCGCTCCGCTGCCTGCCCTCCATCTCTTCTCCGTCATGCCTTCTGCGTCTGTCTTGCCCTGCTTTGCCACTCGCCCCTTTCGGTCCTACCTGTGCCGTTGCCACTACGCCTTGCCTTCGTCCGATTCCTGCTTCTCTCCCGCCTCCCCGCAGCTCATCTCGGGTCTGCGCAAAACATGGTTGATCTTTCCGGGTGTACCCGTCCCTGGCTTCTGAGTGGACCGGCCGCGCGCGCGTTTGCCCCTCCTGCCGACCTTCTACGCCTCGACGCTGCGCGCGAGGCCGCGACAGCCAAAACGTATGTGTGTGTGCGTGTGCGTGCGTGTGTGTGTGTGTGTGTGTGTGTGTGTGTTTGTCCGTTTGTGTGTGTGGGTGCCACTCCTTGGCCATCTGCCGTATTGCCTAATCTGCTGGGCTCGCTGCCTTCCTGGCTGTCGCCGTCCTCTGCGTGGCTTTGTCGCCCTTTGGTGCTGCTGTCTCATTCCGGCGGCTGCCTGGGCCGGGTCTCCGCTTTTTGTTTTTTCTCCCCCCATTCACCGCGTTTCCGTCGTTGCGGCGCGTCGCTGCGCCTCGCTTGTCGTCGCGGACTGCTCACTATTTGGTCTCGTCTCGCCCCCTGCCCCTGTCTCTCCCCCTGGCCCTCGCGCACCCCCCGCGAGTGACCTGGTCGATCCCCTGTGGGCAGATCCCAGCCACAACGCCGCGTGATCCGTGCTGGCCGTCGCGCGCGTCTCTCCGCCCGACTGCCTCCGCCGCGGAGCTGCGCGAGTGGCCGCGACGCCCCAACAAGGTCTGCGTGCGTGCGTGCGTGTGTGTACGTATGTCTGTATGTATGTATGTATGTATGCATGCATGCATGCATGCATGCATGCATGTATGTATGTATGTATGTATGTATGTATGTATATATCTATGTGTGTATATATGTATGTATGTATGTATGTATATATATATATATATATATATATATGTATGTATGTATGTATGTATGTAGGTACGCCTGTATGTACGTCTGAATATCTGTATGTCTGTTTGGCTGTATGTTTGTAACCATGTCTATATGTATGCATACCTGTGTTGTTGTATGTGTGTAGACAGGTCGGTCGGTCGGCATGCATGTATGCATTTGTATGTAATTACGTACGTATGTGTGTACGTATGTACGTACGTACATACCTATGTACGTGAGTGCATGTATGTATGCATACACACATGCATGCATGCATTCGTCCATTCATTCGCACATACATGCACACATTAATGCATACATGCATACATGCATGCATGCATTCTGTATGCATACATACATTTATACATACATACATGAGTGCATGTATGTATGCATACATGCATGTATGAATGTATGCATATATGTATGTATGCATGCATGCATGCATGCATGTACGTACCTATGTATGGATGGACGTATGTATGTATGTATGTATGTAAATATGTATGTATGTATGTATGTATGTATGTATGTATGTATGTATGTATGTATATATGTATGTATATATGTATGTATGTATGTGTTTATGTATGTATGTATGTATGTATGTATGTATGTATATATATATGTATGTGTGTATATATGTATGCATGCATGTATGTATGTATTTCGGTAGGTAGGTATGCAAGTGTATATGACTGCATGCATGTATGCATGCATGTATGCATGTATGTATGTATGCATGTAGGTATGTATGTATGTACGTATGTATGTAGGTATGTATGTTTGTTGTATACATGTATGTATGTATGCATGCATGCATGCATTTATGCATGCATGCATGCTTGTATGTATCCTGCTTGTCTGTCTTTCTGTCTGTCTATGCGTTTGTCTGTCTGTCTGTCTGTCTGCATTCATGCATGCATGCATGTATGCATGTATGCGTTCATGTATGCATGTATGTGCGAATGAATGGACGAATGCATGCATGCATGTGTGTATATATGCATACATGCACGCATGTATGTGTGTATAGGTGTGTGTGTGTGTGGTGGGCGCATGCGAACGACATGGCTTGTGTGTGTGTGTTAGTCGTGTGATACCGCTGCCTCTTTCCTTACCTCACCTCTCCAATTCCCCCCACAGGTTCACTCATACACAGACCCACTGATACACACTCGCACTCAGACTTACACTCATTTACGCTCAAACTCGCTCCCAAGCCCACTCATTCATACCCCATTACACCCAGACTTAATTTGTCGCTCACACTCAGCCTTACTCACACTCAGGCCCACTCATAGTCAGACCCACCCATACTCGACTCACTGATTCATACTCGCTCCACTCGCACTCGAACCCGCTCGCACCCAGACTCACTCGTTCTCAGACCCGCTCACACTCATAGCCAGTCATACGCAGACTCATTCTCACTTAGACCTGCTCCTGCTCAGACTCGCTCATGCTCAGACTCGTTCGAATTCCCCCTCGAGCTCAGACTTATTCATCAGCGCGCTGCAGCAGGGATTGCACTCGGGCATCCCAAGGGGTAGGTCGACCAGCGGGGCGCCGCACGGTCCCGTCCATGCCCAGATTCGGGGACCTCTTGTAGTTTTTGTGTCGGGGAGAGACGTGCTTTTTTTCAGACTTCCATGTTCACCGCGATGTAGCAGGCATCGCACGTGGGCCTCCAATGTGTAGTCATGCCAGCTCGTTCTGGACCTACTCATATTCAGATTCGCCCATACTCAGCCCGTCGTGCTCAGGACCACTCACGCTCAATCGCCAGCAAAGATACATACACCTGTGGACCCCCTCGCGTCGACTAGTCCTCATTCTCGGGTTCCCGCCGCCCACTCTCCGCGCGCTCCATCGTCCTCAGCCCGCTCTCCACTCCACTCTGCTCCGCTCGCAGCCTCCCCCCCCATCCCTCCAGCGGCGCCTCAGCCAGCTCATCCATTGAGGGGGCGTCGGGCCCGGGGGTACCTCCCCCCTATCCCTCCAGCGGCGCCTCAGCCATCTCATCCATTGAGGGGGCGCCGGGCCAGTGGCTGCGGCCGATGGAGAGTCTCACCAATGCCACGGTTGCCGCGTACAGGGCCGCAGAGGCCTCTGCGGGCCAGGCCTCGGGCACGGGCAAACATGCTCCATCCATTCAGAGGGCACCAAGCATACGCCTACACCGACCTTGGCCAGGCCGATCCTGGGCCCAGGATCGGCCCCGCCAAGATCGGCGTATGTGTATAGTTGGCGTGTTGGCATGCTCCTGTCCACCAGGCCACAACAGGGATGGTCTGGGCCCAGATCGTGGTCGATGTCGGTTCCAGGCCAGGCCAGGTCGGGAGACCATGTCCACCAAGATCTGTGCCGCAAGCAGGTTGGTCAGGAGTTTGCGTTTGTGGACTGCCACGGCACCCGATGTGGAAAGGCCACGACGCAACGCGCAAAAGTCGCGACGTGGACAGTCGACCGCACCTTTGGGCTTCCGTTTCTCGAGCCGCGTCGATCCGAGAGGGTTCCGAGGCCCGAGACCGGGGCGAAAACGACGCCCGGATGCGCGGGTGCCCTGCTCCCTCCCACCAGCCACACGCCAGAGTGATTCCTCGCTGGAGTGGCCTTTGGGGCGCGGCCTTCGGGGGGGGGGGGGGGGCAAACCCAGGCAGGGGGGGGGGGGGGGGGCAAACCCAGGCACGCAGGTCGCCCACTGGTCCGCCGAGCACCCAAAGGTCACTCTCGCCCAGGGACGCCCTTGCGCGCAGCCGATCACGAGGTCGGCGATGGCGTCTCCCCCTTCGCCGACCGGGCCTGGATCCTCTGGGCCGCTGTGCAGCACGTCGCGACGGCGCTCCTGCTGCTGGTGCTGGAGGCGCCCCGCGGCGGCGGGAGGGGTGAGCGGGTCCGCGAGGCGGCGCCCGTGGGGCCCGAGCGCATCACCCGCGCCGCGTCGGCGCGGTGGCGCCCCCCGGCTCGGGCGTCCCAGGTGGAACGCCGCAGGTGGGCCAGAATGGGCCGAGCTCGAGCGATCTGCGCCGGCCGCGGTCGCTCAATGGATGAACGGCCCGCACCTCATCCTCCTCCTCTTCCTCCTCCTCCTTCCTCCTCCCCCTCCTCCTCCCCCACCTCCTCCTCCTCCTCCTCCTCCTCCTCCTCTCTCCTCCTCCTCCTCCTCTCCTCCTCCTCCTCCTCCTCCTCTCTCCTCCTCTCCCTCCTCCTCCTCCTCCTCCTCCTCCTCCTCCTCCTCCTCCTCCTCCTCATAATCCTCAGTGGTGGAAGCTGCGCCCAAGCCGACACGCCTGACCTGCTTGCGGGGCCCCGCGGGCGGGCAACCAGCCCTCGCGCTCCTGGCTGCTTGCCGGTCCAGACGGCGCCAGACGCCGCCGCTGGAGCTGATTTCCCGCGCGCGTCGGGGGCCGGGTCTCAGCGCACGTGCGTTGGTGGTGCTCGTCTGCCAGCTGTCTTCTTGCTGCATGCCTGCATCCCCTCCCTCCCCCCATGCCCTCCATCCTTCTCCATCCTGGCCCCCCCCCCCGTCATCGATCCTCCCATCCTCCATCCTCGTGCGTCCTCTGTGCTCCTCCTCCGCCCGCCTAGCTCGGCGACGGTCGGCCGGCGGCGGCAGCGGCGGAGGGGGCAAAGCGGCGCGCCCCGCAACGAGTGGACGGGTCGCCGATTCCGCCGCCAGCCCCCTCGGACAGCAAGGATCAGCCACGCGCAGCTTGGGGTGGGGGCGGAGGGCTTCTTAGAAGCACCCCTAATTCTTGGAAGGCGCGGGCCTCATCCATGGATCTAGGGCCAGCGCCTGTTGAGAAGCAGCCCTCGGGGCTCAAGAGACGGGGGTCAATGCAAACGGGGGTCAGTCAGAGCGCCGGATCTTGCAGAATCCTGCAGGGCCAGGGGTGCACTGACCCGGGCTTGGGCGCAGGATCCTACAGGATTTGGCAGGATCCTGCACCGCCCGACTGCCCCGGGTTTGGACTGACCCGGGTCAGTGCGTCCCCGAAGCTCCTTTCTAAGAAGCCCCACCCCCTCCCTCCACCCATCGGAGGTTGCTAGACCTGACACGTCGTTTAGCGAACTGGCCGTTTTCGGTTCGCGAGAGGGCGTCGCGGCCGTCATTTTTGCGGGCCCAGGTCCGTCGGTTTCGGTCCTGGGCCGTTTTCGCTAAAGGGCGGTTTACTAATGGGAGGTTTGTCCACCGCCGAACCCAACCCTCTCGTGCGCGCCTCCACAGCAAGGAGGTGCTGCAGAGGGCACGCCCCCGCGACCCAAGGGCCAGACGGCCTGCCTGCGCGCGCACGGAGCGGTGCGGGTGGCGACCCCGGGTGGTGCTGTTCGAGGCGTGCCAGAGGAGGAGGAGGAGGAGGAGGAGAAGGAGGAAGAGGAGGCGGATGAGGAGGCGGAGGAGGAGGCGGAGGAGGAGGCGGAGGAAGAGGAGAAGGAGGAGGGGGAGGAGGGAGGAGGAGGAGGAGGAGGAGGAGGAGGAGGAGGATGAGGGAGGAGGATGAGGAGGAGGAGGAGGAGGAGGAGAGGGAGGAGGAGGAGGAGGAGGAGGAGGAGAAGGACGAGGAGGAGGAGGAGGAGGAGGAGGAGGAGGAGGAGGAGGAGGAGGAGGAGGCGGTCCGTAGCCATTTTGGCTCAAGGCCGTTGCCCGAAGCCACCCTCTGTCGGTCGTCTGAGGGTGTACTCGGTGAGGGCTCGAGGAGCCCACAGCGCGGGCGCCGCCCCTTTTCCCTTGCCAGAGGGCAAGGCGCTTTCTTCTACACCCTCGTCATTTTGTCTGGGGGCCATGCCTGAGGGAGATGCGGGCAGTAAGCGAGGTATTGCTGAAGCATCTGAGACAGGCGGAAACGGAAAAGGATTCGGAAGTCGTGGCAGTGGCAGCTCTGAAGCGGCTCCTCCTCCCAAGCTTCGTCGTCCTCGTGATGATGCTGCTGGGCTGTCTCTTGAGGGTCTGCATGACTATGTTGATGAAACTCGAGATGAGCTGCTGCTGGCGATCCAGAATGTGGAGTCACAGGCCAATGCCATGGTCGAGTCCTCCAAGTCCCTCTCCGAGACGGTCAGGTCGTCATACGACTCCCTCTCGAAGCGTGTGGAGCTGCGCATGGCGAAGACGGAGAAGACTGTTAGTGGGCATTCGGACCGTATCGAGAAGCTTGAGGAGCAGGTGGCTCATCTTCTCCAGTGCCTTGGCGAGATCAAGGCGCAGAAGCCGTTGCCAAAGGAGATTGATCACTCCTTCGAGCGGCCCACCGACGACACGATCATCATCGTGCGCTCCAAGGGGCTCATGGCCCGCCAGTCCGTCATGGCCTGCCTGGCCAACTGGCTGCAGAGGAGCAATCTGGACGTTGACGACTACGAGGTGCAGGGCGATGTTGTCGGCAGGCGTTTCATTATCCAAGTGGTTGGCGCACCTTCCTATGCGCAGCGGCGTGTGGCACAAGCTCTCGGAGCCCTTCGGCGTGCTGATGGCTCGTGGGAAAGGTTCAGGGCCAAGGACACCAGCAACGTGGACCAGGAGGTGTACGTCTCGGGCGACAAGAACCCCGCCCAGATCAAGAGAGAGCTGGCTCTCAAAGTTGTGCGCAAAGAGCTGCTGGTGTTGTTGCCCAATACAAAGTTCTACTCGGACAAGGCGAAAGGGGAAATTTCTTCGGGGTGGAAAGGTCTGGTCAAGGTCGTGCCTCTTCCTGGTGACCAGCCTCCTCAGCTTAGCTATTGTGTTGAGAACCTGCGGGAGATCGGACTGGACAAGGGGGAGCTGGACACGAGGTTGCGCAACTGCTTCATCCAACCCAGTCAGAACGAGTGGCGAGTTTAACAATCTCCTCCAGGCCTGGAAAGGGCCCACCGGTTCAGATTGGCCATTACAGTTGCTGTCCTGGAATACTCGCGCGCTCTTTCACAATAAGACCTACAAGAGAACTCTCAAGTGTTCATACCTCAAGAAGTACATCAGAGCGGGCAGTATTTGTGCATTGCAGGAATGCCATGGGACAGAGGCCGAACTGAACGACTTCCTGTATCACTCTCGGATCCCCTTCACGGCTCACTTCTCCTTCTTGCGTGGCCAGGCCGCCGGCGGGGTAGTGACGCTGACCCCCTACTTCTCGCACTTAGGGGTGAATGCGCCGCGCGTTTACTCTGAGGAGGTGATCGAGGGTCGGGCTCTCCTCACTCACATCGTTTTTGATTCAGATACCTGGATTTCTCATTTCAACGTCCACAATTTTGGGTTCTCGGCGGAGGAGAGGAGGAAGCTTTTCAGGTCCATCAGCCTTTTGCGGCGAGAGGCTGATGAGAAGCCGCTCTCGCGGCTTGTGGTAGTAATCGGCGACTTTAACATCGGCGCTGAGCCTCCCAGACACATCCTTGATCATCCTGGGGAGCGTTCGGAGGTTTTCACAGAATGGGTTTCACAAAGGGATGGGCCTTGGAATCGGCTCTTTCAGGACTTCCTGGAACTACAGGTACCCGACCCCACACATCATCATAGTGCACAGCATCTTCTTACATATATCGATCGCTGCTTCGTCTCATTCCCGAGTTGGGCGATGAATCAACTCTATGTGGCAGGACAGTGTCTGGAGATGGCCGAGGTCCTGGACGCCAAGGAGGTGTCGGACCATGCGCCTGTGTTTATCCAGTTGTCCAGCAGCCCTCCGCGTCCCGTGGAAGATATCCCGATTCCGAAAACGGTTTGCGAACATCCTGAGTTTCGGGTCTTTCTGGAGCGTATCTGGGACCTTGCCAAGGACGAGTATATGACCCCGCCCATGCTTCTGGACTTCCACACTCGGATGATCAGGGAGGCTGCTAGGCACGTTAGGAACCTGCTGATCAGGCGCTTCCCAGGCGACCTGTTCGCTCGGCACGTGGTGCTCAAGAGCATCGCGCGTGCTGTCTGGCGCCAGGACGTGGTTCTGGCTGGTCGTATCTTAGGATCGCACCCCCTCGGAGACAAGTACTTGGAGCTAGATCCTATCTCCCAGAAGGTCTCCCTCAAGGCCCCCAACGAGTACCTTTTGGACACCTACCAGACCCATAAGAAGATAGCTGACAAGGAGGAGGGGGAGGTTAAGAGGAGGCTGTCCAAAACAGAAGATGAGACCCAGAAGAGTAAGCTCCGTCGTCGTCTCCGAGGCGTGGTTGCCCGCGCTCGCCTGTGGTCGCCCTTCGACCGCAGGATGTCCCTTGCTGCTGTTCGACACGCTGGAGGGGTCAGCACGTCGCCTGCCGAAAAACTAGCGCGACTGGCAGAGTACTGGTCACAGGTCTTTCGAGCTCGTGAGATCGATAGAACGGCAGCTGAACAATATCTTGATAAGTTTGCTCCTCAATGTCCTCTTCTTCAGGACCTCCCACCACCGACTCAACATCATATTCAGCAAAAGTTGGAGCGTGCTGTAAACAGTGCCCCAGGTCCTGACGGGGTCCCCTATGCAGGTTGGCGTTATCACCCATATGGGGCGGTGGTCTTGGACAAGGCACTCTGGTGGGTTCTCTCTGGGCAGCATCTCTATGGGAGCTTCAATGAGATCCGAGGAGTATTCATCCCGAAGGGCTCTGAGGAAGGTGACCTGGACGGGTCCATCACGAGGGATGCGTCCTCCACGAGGCCTTTGGGGCTCAAGAACACTTCGAACAAGGTGCTCACATCGGTCGTCGTGCATGGCCTCGGGAAGGCCACCTCGAAGTTCGTGCACTTCATACAGCGGGGCTTCGTCCCAGGCAGAAACTTCGGCGTCAACATACTGGAAATGGACACACAGGCACGGATTGTTTCATCGGCTCCTTCGCCATTGCTCAAGCTACCTGCTCTCGTTACATATGACTACGGCCAGGCGTTCCCATCCATCTCGC